TCTTTTTCTCCTTCCCCTTCCCTCCCTCTCCCTCTGCCTCCGTGTTTATCTCTAAGCTCCAATTTCTTGCCTTATAGATTTACCTGCAGAACAAGACACCGCTCCTCTTGCAAAAACTGTTTAGGAAATCCATATCCTCTCCCTTCATTCCTTGGGCATTTCAGAAGTGATATTCCTCCCCCCAACTACCCCCGTCAAAATAAAATAAATTCAGCCAGCTCCTGCTGTGTGTCCTTAAATCCATTCCCTCTAGCTTTGCTGGTTTGAAAGTCTGTACCCTAGAAGGGGCCTCCTGCATTTGCTGGCAACCCTGCTCCAGTCTGATCGCCACAGATAGTGCTTGGGAGTGAAAAAAAGGGGGAAAAACCCTCTCGTTGGAGATTTCAAAACAGATCCTACCAGCTTTCAAATCTGTGCACTTGCGGAGTGGCAGGACTCAGGGGAGAGGGGTAGGGGGCTGGGGTGCGGGTGTTTGTCATAAACAAATAAGCCCTAGAATTTATATACATACTGAATGCGCGTTTCCTTTGGCACGTTTGGTGTCTTTCTCCCTGGCATCCAGGGTGGGTGCTGTGTGAGTCTGACTCCTCTTACACTTTCGCTGGGGTCTGCTGTGTGTGTGTGTGTGTCTCTGTGTGTGTGTGATGGAATTGGGGGGGGATTGCTTTGTTTTTGATCTGATCCACTTGACAGATTATCTGAGTCCAGCCCACCTTTCCGCACATGTCAAACAGATGGGATCATGTTAAAAGCCTTCAGAGAGCCGTGGCTGAGCGGTGGGTAAGGCAGGGAGGGGGAAGAGAGGAGGGGGACCGAAGAGAGAGAGGGGGGCACCTTCTCCTGGCTTTGTGTTTTCACACGTTGGGACTGACAGGAGCCCTGCTTCTCCGTGGGGGGTATCTTGGGGGTTCTGGGGCTGATGAGGGGTGGGATGGAAAGGAGAGCGAGAGGTGGGGTGTTGGTGGGCAGGGTTATGATGTCACAGCAAAAGTTACAACAGGAGGAAAACACAGAAATGGTTCAACATTTTTTTTTTTAAACTTTGGACTGCCAAGAGCTGAAGGAGAGTGGTGAGCAAAGGAATGAAGGGGAGAGAGAGAGAAACTAAACTGGAAGCTTGAGTTTTGTGTAGCTTCTTGAAAGCTTATGAATGGATCCTTAGCAGCTGAGAGCCAGGAGACCTATAGGGGATGCGAGATCATTCCCACAGTAACGGGGGAGCAAGGCACGCGGGACTCTCCTTCCTCGCTGTGTTATCCCTCCTTCCTGAAATGAATGGTAGGAAACCTTTTTCTGAGGGTCGTGGGGGTGGCATGAGGGAGGGGAAGTTTACCTCTCCTTTTCTTACCTGAGTGCCTTCCCTTCATTTAAACTAAGGTTCCTCGCCTTCCTTTCTTTCCTGGTGTTTTCTCTCTCTCTCCCCTCTCCTCCCCTCCCTCCCCTCTGTGTTTCTGTCTCTCTCTACATCTCCCCCTACCCCCTGCCAAAGCCCCAATCTTTATTGAACTGCTTCAGGAAAAATATAAAGGAATAGGGGACTGTGTCAGGAGAATGAAGGGAGAGGTGGGAATGATTCGAGGAATGAGGACAGCCCAGGGTCCAGCGATTTGTTTAGTAATGTCCACGTGCCTGAGCTGATACCTTCTGGGGGGACTTGCTTTGAGGCTCCAGTGGACCCAGCCCAGGGAAACAGGACATGCCCCTGATGGGGTGTTTGGGGTACAGTTTTCTTAAAGAAGTCAGTAATTAGCTGGGGTAGAGGAGTTTAGAGGACCATGAGGAGACCCAAAGCAGAAGAGGGAGCGTGGTCCTAACTCCAGACTGCGTGGGCTGTGGGCTTTCTATATGGGCAACACAAGCAGTGGTTCTAGACACGTGAGTGATTTCTCTTATTGTTCAGCCAAGAGCCCAGTGTATTTCTCTGCTTATGTTGTGCCCATCTGAGGTCAAACAACCTTACCTGTGTTGAGAATTCAGAACCTGTGTGTGTATGTGTGTGTGTGTGTGTGCGAGCATGCACATGCATTTGGGGGGCGGGACTCCTTGAGATAGCCTGCATCCAGGCAAACATTATTACAGAGGTGAAAACCACACTATTTATTTCCCTATCCTATCCATTCATCGCAAATCAAGTGAAAAAAATACTTGCTCGGGTCTAGCTGTTCATTTCTGCAAAGTACTTACTTTGAGCACCTCGTTTGTTTATTTGCTCGCTCAGCATATGGTGACGTTCAGTGACTTGGGAGTGAGGAACTCCAGAGGGGTACCAGGCCCCCCCAGCATGCCCGTGGCACTCCACCCAGCGCTCCTGACAGCAGGGCCGCTGCGTTCCCCGTCTCCCCGGGCGCAATGTAAAGTGCATTGGGGGCATTTTGTTTTAAATCCCAAGCGACTGAAATAAGAAAAAGAGACAGGGTTTGTGCAAAACAAGAGAAAGAGATGCGAGTGGCCCCTAAAAGGCTGGGGTGGATTCATTAGGCAGGTCTGCTCCCAACACACGTGTGAGTGAGTGAGTGAGTGTGTGCGTGTGTGGATACACACAGGAGAGTGCTCCAACACCGTATCGATTGCTTACTATTGATTGTGTAGGCTGCGGCTGCTGAGAGAGAAAGCCCGAGATGCTTCTTGGGGAAACCAAGAGTAGTTTCTGTCCCCTGTGCCTCAGTGAGGTGGGGAGGTTTTCAGGAGGAAGGAGGGGACAGGGAGTGGGTGGAGTGATACACCGAACATATTAGCTTTGACATCATCATTGTCTTTAAATGAAACAACCCAGGAGATAATTATAGGCAGAGAGGAAGGGAGACGGGGAACAGGAGGGACCCGGGCGAACAGGTCCCCTGAAGTATATGCCCTTCTCCTCACTGTCTTGTCTGTCTTCCCAGGGACCTGCGAGACTCCCAGAAGGTCAAGTCCAGGGCTCTCAGATTCATCAGGTTATTAGGACATCAGACCGGCACCCCCCAGGAGAACTTTACAGAGACTTTCAACAGACTAACAAGTTGGAAGGGTATTAAAAAAAAAAAGAAAACCTTCAAGCACCCCAAGCCCGGAGCTGAGGGAAGCGTTCTGACCTGCAGGCCGGCTGGAGGCTGGCTGGTTTGACTGAGGACACATCTGGACAGTGAGAGTTAAGTACCAGCTTGGATCTTTGTGCACCCAGCTTCTTTTTGCCCTTTTCGATAACAAGCATCAGGTTCTGTGTGTCTGCAAACAGATTCTTCTAGTCATTGGCTTGAAGGTGAATTCATTCCAGGTTGAGGACTACGGAGAGAAGGTGACTCCTGGGAAGGAGCGAAACGGAAAGGAGAGGAGAAGGGTCTTTTTAATGACTTCAGGTAGCGAGGGCTGTGTGTTTGTGAGGGAGTGTGTATTTGAGAGGCTCTGGCTTGTGTCCACGTGTCCCTCCTCTAGAATCAGCAAGGGGAGGGGCTATTGAAAAGGGGGGAAAAAAAGAGGAAACCTGAGCTCTCTGGAGGAAATTCAAAGGAACCCAGAGAAATGAACTTCATCCTGCGAGGGCTGAACTAGAGCAGGGAGAGAGGTGAAGGGAGAGAGGTGAGGGACGCACACTCCGGGCGAGGCGCGGAGGCCACGCTGGCACAGCACCCGGAGCAGGTAGCCAGGGAGAGGCACTCTTTTGGGGCTGCTTGAAAAAGTTTGGTCTGTGAACAAAACAGTTTCCCCGGTGACTGCAAGTCCACTGCTTGGCCGCCTCTCTCTCTGCCCCCCATCCTCCTGGTGTGGTACCCAGAGGTTGACTTCTGGATCTGTGTAAAGAGCTGGGTGAAGTATGATGTGCTTACAGATCCTGAGAATAAGCCTGGTGGTTCTGGCCGGGTGGGCACTCAGCACTGCCAGCTCTGAGCTGGGCTGGTCCCACAAGCGATCCCTGGCTCAGAGGGGACACCTGAATGAGGTGCTGTCGGAAGGAGAACGCTGTTGGCTGGGGACCAAGGCTCGAAGACCCAGGGCTTCTCCCCAGCATCACCTCTTTGGGGTCTACCCCAGCAGGCCTGGCAGCTCCCTGAGGCCCTACCCTGTGGGGGACCAGGGCACCCCCCGTGCAGGACACAGTGAGCCGGCGGCCGAGGGAAGGGCTGGGAGCGCTGTCCCCCCAGACCTGACTGCAGCAGTGAAGACTGAGACTGAGCAGTCAGCTGCCCCGTGGGTAGGGGATGGTCCTATTGGGCAATCGGAGCTGCTGGGAGATGATGACACTTATCTTAACGATCGAGGATTTGAGGCATCTCTAGGTGAGGCTGGGACTCGGGAACACTCAGCCACGGCTGCCACCATGACCACCACCATCGCTCGCCGGAAGGAACCCAAACCAGAACCCCGCAGGAAGGGTCGAGCCAAGACCAGGCGACGTCGCCAGGTGGTGAAGGGGCAGGCAGAAGGCGTGTGGGGAGACCCAGATATCTCTCTCCGGCATTTCCAACCTTGGCCTAAGCGTCCCCTTATGCACGGGGTCAGAACCAGTCCTTCGGAGGACAGCGTCCGGAATGGCACAGGGAACCCCTCCTGGGGAGCAAGGATCTCGAACCCCCACGGAGTAGGACCGCTCGTCTTGTACTTCTCGGGGAGGCGGGAGAGGCTGCTGCTGCGCCCAGAAGTGCTGGCTGAGGTTCCCCGGGAGGCATTCACAGTGGAAGCCTGGGTGAAGCCGGAGGGAGGGCAGAGCAGCCCTGCCATCATCGCAGGTAATGACCTACTCCTTGCTTCCTGGGCTCCTGGGGGTGCTGCTGGCTTCATGTCTGATGGATTCAGACCTAGGGGCACAGAGGGAAAGGGAACGGAGCAGAAAACCAGGAAGGGCCGGTCAGGAAGAGGGGGGTAGAGACTCCCTTCACCAGCACAGCCGGACTCCAGACCTCATCGGCAGTAATGACTCTAACCACAGAGCGTCTGTCCCTGGTATTGATCTGTGGGTCTATACATTGTGCTGGCACTTAGGAGACTTCCGGCCCACTCTCCTGCTCTTCTTTAAAGGGGAAGACCTCTGGTTCTTGGTAACTGGGGATGAGGTGTCACCTTTCCCTTCTCATAGTCCAGTGTGAGATACCCAGGCAACTTTAGAGCCCTGTGAGAATGCAGGGACCTGGGCAAGGAACCATAGCCAGGGAGCAAGGTGGCCAGGTGCACAGCCACTGGGTCTTGACTGATTCCCTTTTCGCTGAGCTGTCCTGCAACTTACCAGGTACCCCAACTACTTGGTCTGGGTCCTGCGGTCCCCTAACAGTCATGCGTGAGCCTAGAGGAATCAGGGTCACCTGGAAAAGTGGGCACATACAAGCCAGGACCCTGGCTTCTAGCCCTGGCTATTGTAAGAGGGACCTAAAAAATGCACCTCGTATAACTCTATGATTTTCGTCAGAGGCAACGTCTGGGAACATTACCCACATTTATTTTCCACTATACCCAGATCTTAGTTTTCACAGAAAGTCACCCAAAAAGACAAGGAAGACGGGGGGGGGTTAGGAATAGCTATCTCCCTTGCCCTCCTGGGAGGGGGGCTAGTTTCAAGCAAGGGGAGGGGATGAGACCTGCTACTTTATCATCCGGTGTCATCCCTTTGCATCCTCCATGGCAGAACCTCACACAAGGCTAGGCACATGCAGAGCCATTTTAATCTTATTGATTTGGATCATCCATAACCCCCATGGATGTTTCCACTCCCATTCCATGGATAGGGAAACCAAAGCCACACGGAGCATGCCAGAGGCAGACTGGGAAGGGAGCTCCATGGCCCGAGTGCTTGACAACTGTCCAGATTAAAAACTTCTCAGGTTGCTGGATGCCTGCAAGTAAGTTTCAGACTAGAGAAAGAAATCTGGAAGGAGGGAGCCTCTTTCAATGGGGTGTTGCTGGAACATCCCTGCTGGACACACTGTCTCCCCCTCTTTGGCTGTGATTCCTCCTTTGGAAGCTGGGATTCCCAGACACTGAGTACTCTAGAGTTTTGTGGTTTTGCTTTATTTTATTTTGGGGTGGGAGAGGGCATGAGGGGAGGGGAGAGAGAAGGGGCTGGGCTGTAAGATGGGGGGGGTAGAGAGAGAGGCGAAGGAAATCCTTATTCTGAGGCCAAATGGAAGAAATAATGAGATGATTATCTGACTGGAGTTGGCAGCACCACAGTTTTTCCCAGATGACATCTTCGGGCTGCCTGATCTGGCTTCCTGGTGCCCATCTGCCAGGGAAGCTGTGTGCTTGCAGTCTAGACGGAGCCCCGCGACTCTGCCTACCCCTCCTCTCACGGTAGCAACATGGGGACCTGGGATCAGTTCCCTGGCTGCGAGGGACTGGAGAAAGATCCAGCAGGAATATAGGAGGGAGGCTCAGAGAGACTTGCTTTGGATTGTTAAAACCCAAACCTGGGGAGACAGACTTTCGACAGTGGGTACCTGACCCCTGTCCTGACCCTTCCATGTCCTGTCTCACGGTCCTCATGGAGGAGAGTATCCTCATGATTTGATTCCAGCTACAGCATTCCTTGTCACAGCTCCCCCACCCCACCCCACCCCTGCACATCTCCCTCCCTTTCCCACCTGTGCACCACCACCAACGGCCCCCCACCTCGCCACAGCACACACAGGCAGATCCTTCTCCAGGGTGCCTTCTGAACTCTCTTAACCTCCCTAAGCATGTAAAATTAGGCAGGAAATCTTTTGCAGACAGTCTAGCTTCTGGGGTTTCTTTCTCTTCAAATCAAAGTGGCCCCTGTGGTGCACGGGCATTTCCCCTTAAGCCCACACCAGGAAGGTCAAGGGGCGGGGTACCCAGGTCTATCTCCTCTCCAGCTCCCACCCTATATCTTCCTCCAGGCTTGCACACATCAGGGAAGCTTTAGGGTAAAAGTCCAGGAATGGTGGGGGCTGGGAACAGGCCTCCATTCTTCAGGATTCAGGGAGCCAGGCTCCCGAGGTCATAGGTCCTTGTCTCCTCATTGTGCGTAGCTTCTTAGCCTTCACCGGGGCCCCACGGTTGAGAACCATGCAGAGGTCAAAGGTCGCCCCTTTAAGGAACAGAGCTCCCAGATTTGCACTCATTCACTCCCATCGGCAGAGCAGCCCATCTTCCCTCTCTTACCCTGGCCTGGCGCATTAGCAGGCCACTGCCTGCTCCTGGGATGATTTGCCTCCACCTATGGAGAATGGCAACTATTGGATCTGCTTCCTGAGAGCAAAATACCATTCAACAGTTGACTTTCTGCTGTTGCACTGATAGCCCAGGGGCTGCAACACTTGGCTCCCACACTCTTTCCAACAGTCCTCAAACCTCAGCTTGTACCTAACTTAAATCTAGGTCTCCAGTTCTCAATCTACCCACCTTGGGGCATTTCCTCCGCATCAGAGAGGTCAAGCAGTTTCGCCACACCAGCCACGGTAGAGGGACCCCTGAGGTGTGGGGCCTTGGGGAATACTTCCCACTCGGGGCGCTAGGTGGCAGTGTTGCTTCATGCACAGGCTGGTAGGCCAGCCTGTGTAGTGGGGAATGTGTCTGGTTTCCTGGAGGGCTGTCCCTGCCCTGGCCTCTGGGCTGTGTTTAATCATCTCCCCCTCTCCCACCCCATTTTCAGAGTATTGTTGGTAAGCATCCTTTAGGGTCAGCTTCATCCAAGTCTTTTTTGCAGGGCCTATGTGAAGGGGCTAAAGTGGCATTTGGAGGGGGTTATGACTAACTTTCCGCTTGTAGCAACTAGTAAGGTATATAAACGTCAAATTGTTATGTTGTACACCTGAAACTAATATACAATTGTGTGTCCACTATAATTAAAAAGAGCTTTACATTCCAGAATGAAAATTAGAAAGAAAAAAAAAAAAGAAAGAAAGAAAAAATCAACTAGGGTTACCTCCCTCCTGTCCCCCCAAACTCCCACATTCTTCCAAAATAGGAAGTTGGACTCCAGAATGGACTGTCAAAATGCTGTTATTTAGGGCTGAGGACAACGCAGGCCCCACTGACTAGGTGCTGTTTCTCTCTGCCCCCCGAGAGGGGAGTCATGGTACTGAGCCCCCTGCAAATTAGACTTTTTGAAGTTGCCAATCTCCGGTAGATCGGAAGCAGGGCAACAAGGCCTAGGCAAGGGCTGGGTGCAGCTGCTTCCGTGGGGGGGGGGGTTGGCAGTTTAGGAATATGTGCCACCCAGGAGTAGCCTGAGGTCAGGAGCCCATTTGGATGGGCCATTCGAACTCAGCAGTGGACCTAAGCCAAATGCTGCCCCATCCTGGTGTCAAAACTTTAAGCTCCAGCACCCGACCCTGAAACCATCCTGTCCCTTTTCCTCTTCAACTTCCCTTCCTCTCCTTCAGCCCCAGCGTACACAGAAGAACCCCTTTTAATAGGTTTCTCCTCACCCATAATTGATTTCAAATGTTCCCTTCAGTTGCCCAGCTGAGTAACCACCTGCAGCTCCAGCCTGCAGGAGACCGAGTCAGCGAGTCCCTGGCAGGACTGGGGCCCAAAGAGCCCAGGTTCCTTCACTCCACAAATATTTACGGAGTGCCTTGCCATGCAAAGCTCCGTGGGGAATACAAAGATGTCTAAGAAACTGTCCCTGACTTGAGGATGAGCCCTCCTTGGAGCCCTCCAGGATCCAAGTTTGAGAGCATCTCCCAGTGCAGAACCTACGAGTCNGGAGCCCTCCAGGATCCAAGTTTGAGAGCATCTCCCAGTGCAGAACCTACGAGTCTGACAGCCCTGGAGCCAGGTCCCATCTCTGACACTTATCAGTGCCGGCATCTTTGGCAATCCATTGGGCTTTTCAGAGTCCTGGTTTCCTCAAATCAGAAAGTGAGATAATGTCTTGCAGAGTTGCTGTGATGTCTAAATAAGCCACATATGCACAGTGCCCGACACGCAACGAGCCGTAGTCTTTATGATGTGGAATTTAGGACACAGGGGCCATTGCTAACTAAGTAGCGTACGCATCTTTGGTTCTAGCCCACTAATCTGTAATATTCACTTAAGTGGGGTATTAACTTCAGTTCCTTAGAATTTTAGTTTGCTCATCTGTCAAATACAAATGGTGGTAAAGAGGATTTTTTACAAAATGGTCTCAAGATGATTGAGAACATGATAGAATCAGAAAGAACTCTCTCTCTATATATATATTTAACTCGCTTGTTCTTTTTTAGCCTGGGCAGCACTCACTCGAATACATTGGACAATGACACTAGAGCTTCTATAAGGTCACAGACGCTTTTGGGAATGATGAAAGCTATGACCGCTCCCCGGGAAGGTGTGCGGGTTCATGCCGGTCACATCATTTTCAGAGCTCTCTGGGTTTCCTGGTGGCCAGAGGCTGCTGACCTCAGGTTTAAAACCCCTCGTTTAGGGCGTGGTGATGGCTTTTTTCTGTTCTGAATGAACCTGAGCAATGAGGTTTCACAGGCTGTGGTGACATCCCCTCTCCCCAGTAAGGGAGCTTGGTACTGAGGGGAGGAGTTTTGTTCATGTGGAAGATGGAGCTTTGCAGAAGACAATTCAGAGAATTTCAAAGGAGGGCCACGTGTGCTGTGCCCCCCCCCCCTTTTATCCAGCAGGACTCAGTGATAGCCAGAGTTATGCCCAGGCCTTTCCCAGAGCTCCTCTGAAGATGAGGGCCCCACCAACCACTCCTTGTGCCCCATCTGCCTCCTCCAACGTTGCAGCAATGGTCAAAGTCAGAGTGTTTGCCCAGGTCCTGGACATGCATCGAAGT